TTGCAGGCTCCATCTGATTTTCTGTACTTTTGATTGACAGCAATTCTCCAGAACGATTAACCACAACATTCCCAGAGCCAATGAAAAGGATTTTCAAAACAACAAATGTTTAAAGACTCCTGAGGTGTGGAGTGGGTTTAAATTGCTCTAGGGATCCTGCCAAAGCTTGCTGTGAAGAATAAACAAACAAGTTTATTAAATTCCTTGTTTAGGGGAATATAAATCCCAGCTGTTTGAAATCAAAACCATTTCCATTCTTTGTCACAAACACAGATCTTTTGTTTGGGTGAAAACCGAATAAAAATAAGCTCATCCCTCTTTCTTTTAACAAAACTGGATGTCCTTGAAACTATGAATATTTTAAACAGTATTGGAGGTGTGTTTTATTTTTTTATTTTTTTTCAAATCCTGCTTAGTTGTCACTCTGTTAGGGAAATAGTAAAAATTTTCTGGTCTAAATCTATTCTAACTGAAGATTGACAGTAATCCACATTTGCTAGAACTAAGGAGAAATTTCCTGACAGTGAGAATAATTAATCAGTGGAATGGCTTACCTTCAGAAATGGTGGGAGGTTTTCAAGAAGAGACTGGACAGCCATTTTTCTGGAATGATAGGGCCTCCTGCTTCAACAGGGGGTTGAACTAGAAGACCTCCAAGGTCCCTTCCAACCTTATTATTCTATTTTCTATGCTAGGATGACCAACAAAGATATTCCTTGTTAAAAGAGTAGCATAAACAAGCAACAATAGAATAATAGGAAGCAACCAGAAATATTCTTTGAGCTGATCCATTGGAGATTTATAAAAGCAAACTTTGTGTGGGGGGAATGATCTTCTTACCAGAAATTTTGGGAGATTGTGGAGGAAGCATGAGAACATCACACCTCTAAAGGGCTAGGAGCCAACCATGAAGTGATGCTTAAATATTCTTGCACTTTCTTTACCACCAGCCCTGTGACTAAGATATTGATCCAGTTTGCACACCAGGCTAAACCATGGGGTTTTGTTTGTTGGTTTGCTTTTGAGTTCATGGTTTATGGAAACTCAACCCATATAGTCTGTAAGTCAAGGTTTTAGGTTTTATGGCTTAGTCAATAAGGAGCCGCAAAACTGCAACTCCTCAAACCATATTTAAATTGTGTGCAGCGGGAAGTCAATTATTGGATCACCCAAGTTTACTGTTACAACCTCTGCAGCTTTTTATGTCACACTTGTAAGAACAATTTTTTTCAATCCTGATCATTTCTAACTGTCACAATTATGTGATGGCAAAGGACTATAGGAAGTGAAAGACAGTATATTCTGATTGGGAAGGCTGTCTTAAAAAGCTCATTTGCCTCATGACTGCAAGGCTATGTATCCAACATGGAGGTCTTGGATCACGAGAATCCACCAGCATCGAGTCCCTGATTTATTAGAGCCCAGATGAGATAGGTGGGACATGTCATCAGAATGAAGGACCTCTGTATGCCTCGCCAGTTGTTCTATAGCAGGGGGTCTTCAAACTTGGCCCTTTTATGACTTGTGGACTTCAACTCCCAGAATTCCTCAGCCAGTGTCATTGGCTGAGGAATTCTGGGAGTTGAAGTCCACAGGTCATAAAAGGGCCAAGTTTGAAGACCCCTGTTCTATAGTGTACTGGAGTCTGGGAAGAGACCTTGAGGTTGACTCTGCAAGCACTACTAAAACACTGTGAAAGAAACTCTATACCACTGTGACATCCAACCAAGTGAACTTCATGCTTGCAGCTGCTGACGGAACCCACTGGAAAGCTCTGTGCTATGATGCCTCCACCAGCTTTGAAGACAGGCGCCACCAAAACCATGAATGGCATCAGTGTCACAGACTAACATCCACAGTTATTACAAGAATGGACTTTCAATGTCCCCATTGTGCTAGACTCTGGGCTTCAGGCTTCAAGACTAGGACTGCAAAGTCACCTCCGTATCCACAGCTGAACTGCAAATCAGCGTGTCTTCTTGTAACCCACAGAGCTTCTACGTTTACCTTTTTTTTAACTTTACACTAATTTGACTTACACATTGCAGGAGCCATGGTTTGCTTTAAACCATGTTTGCATAAGCCATTATACTAAATCATAAACCGTGACTAAACCAAAATGGCTGAAAACTTACAACAATGAAATTAATCCATTCATTTTACATATTTGATCTTAAAACTATCTTTCTCTGACGTAATTAATTTGCATACCTGTCTTCCCTTCTTCCTGATTCTCCTCTGGATTTTTTTTTTATACGGTGAGGTTGGTGTGGAGAAAAGGATTTCTCCCCCAAAAACAAAGTTTTGGATAGCCAAACCTTTGAAATATCAGTTTGCCTTTCTTGTAAACCAATAGATTATGATTTCACCCAAGGTTAGTTTGTTTTGGTATCGCCATCAGTTTGGGAAAATCTGTCCCTGGGCAACAGCTGTTCCCTTCTCAAACTTCCTTCCTAGCTCCCATTTTTCCATACTCCTCTTTATGAAAAGCCCGGGGTGAAATGGCAAAAATAATATTAAGCCTTGTACATTTTTACAGGGATAGAATATTCTTTCAAGATAGAAAACGTAATTGGTTGAATTTTAAGTCTTTTGAATGTAATGCTACTTAGTAAGAACAATAGTTCTTATATTTCACCACGAATTGTGCTCAGACAAGATGCCAAAATTATGCAGGCTTGACACATAGCAAAGATGAGAAATTATAGCTCAAAGGAATACAGAGAGGTGTTACTTATATATATATATGCAACTCATAGTACTACCTTCAGGGTTCCACAGTGTCTCACCTGGCATCATCTCAGTAAGATGGGTGGCATAGAAGTCTAATAATAAATTAAAAATAAGAATAAAGTGTGAGGTGGATAAGTAGAAACAGAGATCAGAGGAGTTGCGAAGAACATTTTAGTTGTTCACTGTTTCAGTAAATTCACTTTTCCCCAAATGCCAGCTTCAAATGAGTAACTTGGTGGTGGCAAAGGGACAAATTTTGCCCTTTCAATTTTTTCAATGCCTTGATTTAACATTTCATTGCATTGTTTCAATTTCATTTTATTGCAGTGGTAGACCAGTATAGATAATAAACAAAATAAAATTTAAGACAAAATATATTTGAAAAGCAACCTAATATCTGTGAAATCCAGGATTATATTAAATTATAATATAAATACCAAAATTATATTAAATATAACATCTGAAATGACAACAAAAATATCTAAAACAATTAAAATCAACTAAGTAATATCTAAAATTTAAGTAAATTATAGCTACAAGAAAATGCATTGCAGGATATTGGCCCTTCAGGTTCAACAAAGTTTCATTGTATTGTTTTCATTGTTCCTTTTGGTGTTTGCATTTTTAGGGGACATTAAGATTCTTCTATCTAAAGCAGGGGTAGTCAACCTTGGCTCTTTTATGACTCGTGGACTTCAACTCCCAGAATTCCTGAGTTGAAGTCCACGAGTCATAAAAGAGCCAAGGTTGACTACCCCTGATCTAAAGGGAGGTGTGACGGGAAAAAATATAGGAACCACTGCTCTACCTGAAAATGAGCCAATGCTTATGAATTCACAGTCTCCTAATAATAACAACAATACTAACAATACTAATACTGCTACTACTACTAATAATAATAATTGAGTTGGAAGGGACCTTTTCCATCACATAGCATCCCGGACTTAACAATTGTCGATAAGACAAAAAAGTCTGGATAGGAGACAGCAGAGCAGAAGAAAAAGAACTGGAGAAGATAACAAAATACAAAGACTTATAAATAAAAATAGAACGAATGTGGCAAAGGCAAGTAAGGGTAGTACCAATAGTAATGGGTGCCTTGGGTGCAATCCCAAAACAACTGGAGCATCACTTGGACACCATTGGCATTGACGATATCTGTAACACAGTGGTTCTCAACCTTTTTAATGCCGCGACCCCAACCGGTCGTAAGTCGAAAACTAAACCGGTCGTAAGTCGAGGACTAAACCGGTCGTAAGTCGAAGACTAAACAGGTCGTAAGTCGAGGACTACCCAACTGGTCGTAAGTCGAGGACTTTCCCTGCCCGGGAGCGCCGCGCATGCGTGGTTCCGCCCCCTGCGCTGGCCGAGGCGTAACTGGCAAGCGGCAGAGACGGAGCAGGCCGACCACCAGCTGGCCCAGCCCAAGGGAGGTAAGGCACCCGCCGGAAAAGGGGGAAAAATGGCGGACAAAAAAAATGGCGGACAGCCTTGCTTGGCGACCCCCATGAAATGGTCGATCGACCCCAAATGGGGTCCCGACCCACAGGTTGAGAACCACTGCTGTAATACCATCAAACATCCAGATCTGCCTATCCCAGGTCCTTGGTGTGGACTCGATAGGTAGACAAAAATGCCAAATCCAGTCTGAACATCTGGCTGACTGTGTGATGATCAATAATAATAATAATAATAGAGTTGGAAGGGACCTTTTCTGGTGGAACGTCTGAACGTGGTCTTTCTTTTCTTGCATATTGCCTGGTTCTTTCAGACAGAGAAGCAGAGGTCTCTTTCACCTTGATCATCTTAACGATGTTATATATCTGTAAGTAATTTGCATGATAAAAATAACTGCATTGTAAAAATTAAAAAAAAACTGCATTTATAAAATCACGGAGGCTTTCCTATCTCGGGTGTGATATTCCCAAGGCATTCCCGGCGCTTGAGAATAGTACGCCCACAACTCGGCTTTACCCCAACACCCCTTTTGCGCCTCGACCAAACCCAACTCTTCGGCATTTTCCGGAGACGCTTCGACACTTTGCCGAAGGGCTCGTAGTAGACGTATGTCAATGCCTAGGTGGGCGGGACCCAGAACCTGTCGGGATTTGCTCTCTGGTTGTCGGCTTGGGCGGGCCAATCCCGACAGCGCTGGGCCTGCCTCTCCCCCACGTGACCAAGTTCCAGCTGCTGCTCCCGTAACAGCCCCCTGGCTGGAGAGGGAGAGCCAGCAAGCGGACGGGACCGACGTCAAACAGTCTTCTTATAACTTTGTTTCTTCTCCCCGCCCACCTCACCTGCCTCGGCTGGCTTGAGGGGTGGGGAGGAGGCTCCGGGCACCCCGTTATTTAGTCTTAACGCCTCCCGATGGGAACTGCATGGATTTAGCCAAGGTGAGAGACCTCCCCCACCCCACCCCCTCTCCCCTTAATAAATTCTCAGCAAAAAAAAAAAACAAAACTATAATACATTGCTACTTAAAAATAAGAAAGCTTCTATTTCTGGCTTGCAGAGAAAGAAGATTCCAATCCTGGAGGGGAGAAAAAAAAAAGTGGGAGGGGAAGAGAAGAGGATTTGGGTTTATAAAAGGGCTGGCTCTCCCCCCCCCCCCCATTCCCTGTTTGTTCCAACTTTTCTGGCGTTTTTCCCTTTTCTTTGCTAATCCTGGGATTCCTGGCTTTTCAAAGTTAAGCAAGCGACGATCCAGTCGTGCCGGGCGTTTGTATGCAGATCTCTTTGCGTGGGATAGATAGATGCAGGTTTTTGAAGCCTTTGCGAGGAGCGTGTGTGTTTGCGTGCCTCTGTGTGTGTGTATGTGTGTGTGTGTGTGTGTGCTGCTGGATTTCGCATTATTATTTATGCAGGGCGTGCGTGACGTTGGTTCGTGTTTGCTTGGCTGAGTCCAGAGCATGAATGGCAAGAGGAACGTGCCCGGGATTTGTTGACAGGTTTTGTTCAAAGTCTTTCTTCATTCTTAACTTTCTTTAAAAAAAAAAAACAACCTGGTTACTTTGATTGTTTTCAAAGTCCCGTTTTTTGTGTTGTGTGTCATTCTCTCTCAATGTGGATGCGATCTCACTAGCTTCGGTTTTTGCATGCTTAAGTTATGTGCCCAACAATATGTGCTCTAAATTCAAATTGGTTTTAAAAAAAACCAAAAAACCGTCTGTGGAGATTCTCAGTCATCCAGGTCATGGTTGCCCCCAAAGGTGCTTTTCCAAAAGGCAACTGGACTTCCTTGGTTTTTCTTTTCCTTTGAAAATGTTTTGCTTGGCATCCAAGAAGCTTGTTCGGTTCATTCAGTTCTTCGGTTTAAAGCAAAATCCACACGCTTAAATTTTCTTAAACTAAAAGACAGTTCTTTTCTCCCAGGAAAAAAAATGCTTTATTATGCCATATGTCAGTGGTGGCGAACCTATGGCACGCGTGCCAGAGGCGGCACTCGGAGCCCTCTCTGTGGGCACGCACGCCATGCCCCGGAGATGGCAACCACCCTCTTCAACCAGCCACCCACTAACTCGCCGAGGTCCCACATGGCCGGATACATCCGAGCACCCATGCGCTTGCTGGCCTCTGTACCGGGGCTGATGATGTCAGGAAGCAGCCGCCCCTGCCTCGCCTTGCCCTGCAATATGGCATCCCCGCATTCCTCCCCTCACCCCGCAGAACCAGCCTCCTGCCCACCGCCCTACCCGCCAGAATCACCTGGATCTCCCCCAACCCTGCCCAGCCCTCACAGGCGTCCCTCCCCAGGAGCAACATCGAGTTGGCCACGCCCACCCATCTGCCATGACCACTGTAGCCACGCCCACCCGACAATACATAAGTGGGTTTGGGGTTGAAGTTTGGGCACTCGGTCTCTAAAAGGTTCGCCATCACTGCCATATGTGGTTGCTCTGGATGCCCTTAGATTGGGATGTGGTGATTAGTTCCTCTTTTTAGTGCAATAGACATGAAGGACTCACTGAGGAATAAGCTGATAGTTGTTGTGTACACGTCCACAATTGTGTAGCAAGGGTGCATAGTCAAGCCCTTCTTTCAGCCGCAACGCAAAATAGACTGCAGAACCTTGGGAGACATTATGTCGAATTATATTTCTTAAACTGCTTTCCTTATTATGCACAATCTTTTAAAAATAGGCTCACTCCACTGAATCTGTGTAGATATAGTGCAGAGAAAGACGAGGGAAGCACTACTGTATTGCAATTATGAAGCTCAAAGATATTCATTTGAGGCCAACCCTGGAGGTTACATTCTCTAAAATGGGTGGGGCAGTTTGTCTTGGTGAGGCCAAAAAAATGGGACCAAAAGCAGAAATAAGCAGAAATAAAACGACTCTTCCCAACGGTTGGGCAACCATATAGGGACTGGCAGATCCCAAATTATGCACTCCTGATACTGAAGAGCAGTGTTCGTAACTTGGGCAACTTTAAGATGTCTGTCTGGACTTCAGTTCCCAGAATTCCCTACCCAGCCATGGTGGCTGGAGAATTCTGAGTTGAAGTCTGATGGTTGAGAAATGCTGCTGTGTAGAGGGTTGGATTTGGACATATTTGGAGAATTGCATCAGCATATTGAAAGTGAAATGGTGTGATGGTAATAATATGGTTGCAGATGGTCTTGAAATGAATTTGAAATGCAGAAGTCAATAATTAAATAATGATTAAATTAGTGAGGTAATAAGATAGAGGTAGTTTCATTGTGATGTTGTTCGTTGTTGCATTTCTTGTTTTGTTTAGCAACTTTTGTCTGAACAAAAGGCATCTCTGGAAAATCGTACGGTGTGGTCTCTTCTTCAGCAGTCTTGCACTCAAGCTCTTCGCCTTGGTTCCTATTTATTACTGTGTTCCTTGGGAGTTATACTTAAAAGTTTTCCACCAAAGCTAAACAACTCTGTTAGTTAAGGGTGGAGGTTCGTTCTCCGAGTTTGTCGGTTGGTTTCCGAATGTTTCATTACCAGGATGGGTAACATCTCCAGCGGAGTTTAGGGGATGTCAGTGTTCTTCTGTTTATAAGGGCTTCCGGTGTGGGTGTGTCGAGTGAGGGTCTGTGATGGGTCTTATGATGGGTCGGTGTGAGCCATCAATGAGGGTCTTGTGATGAGTCTTGTGATAGGGAGGCTACACCAGATCAGGGTCATTGGGAGGTAAACTGCTGGGAGGAGGGCCTGCGTGGGTTGGTTGAGGGTCAGTGCCATCTCTGGTTGGCTGTGTGATTGATTTGGATTCTGAGGGGTTCGTAGGCTCGTTGTTGGTCTGTTGATGGAATTGCTTGTGGAAGACCAGGCTTCCATGAACTATGTTACCTAGCTTGGTAACGAAACATTCGGAAATCAACCCACAAGCTCGGAGCATGAACCTTCACCCTCATCCTACACCCGAGCTACAGATATTTGCCACTATTGCGAACTCTTCATGGAAAACCAAAACCAGAATTCTTAGCAATTCCTTTAGATCAGGGGTAGTCAACCTTGGCTCTTTTATGACTCTTGGACTTCAACTCTCAGGAATTCTGGGAGTTGAAGTCCACAAGTCATAAAAGAGCCAAGGTTGACTACCCCTGCTTTAGATCAACTGCAACCACCCAGAAGGCTATGCAAGTTTCTGAGTTACTGAAACCGGGGTTAATGAGGAATTTTACAGAACTCAGAAAGTGGCACACCCCTTTGTATATTTTGGCTGATCTTAATAAAGATATCATATAGCGATGAATTTTGCAATTGCTATGTTCCGTCAGTCTATTGACTCCATGGAGCCCAAGCCATCCATTAATCACTGGATCTGCAGCAAATATATCCAAGGACAGTTGGAGACAGAGCGAGAGAGATTGAGATTTCACAAAATAGTATTATGCAGCTGCACTGCTGTATTTGACATGCCTGGATAAAGCTTTGAAAAACAATTCTTGTTTTTAAGAACAGCTCCTTTCCTCAGTGTCATTAAAAAACCTCATTCTAATCCGTGCTGGATACTTTGTCTTACTGTCATTTGCAAGGAGTAGAATATAAAAGAAAGTAAAAAAAAAAATGTGGATGAAGCATCCATTAAAACAAAGTCAAATGAAAGTATTGCAGCATTTTGATCATAGTAAAAAAAAAAGGAAGCACATGCTTTTTGTACTAAGAGCTAGTTTTATTCACGTATTTATTTTATAGAATTAAATGATTAGCCTATAATTATTTAATAATTTCTACAGATGGAAATTTAAGCACCTACATTTAACATGTGCTGTAATGTGAATTTCTATCGTCCCATTAGTTTTCAAACTATTGGCATTTAATTCAGGATAACATCCACATATACAAAAAAAAACATGAATTTTGCAGAACAAAATTAACAAATGGGAAACAATTTATGTCAAAAGGAGAGATAGTACTGAATAGCACATGAATGGCTACCTTACATTTTGAATGCCACATCTAAATTAATTAGCTAAATTGGGAATTTCTTTTTGAAAAGACCTTACTATTTTGTCCCTCCATATATGGTATAATTTTACATACAGATAGTCCTCAACTTACAGTCATTCATTTAGTGACCTTTAGAAGTTACAACAGCACTAGAAAAGTGACTTATAATCATTTTCCACACTTACTACTATTGCAGCATCCCCTTGGTCAATACGATCAAAATTCAGACACTTGACAACTGACTCATATTTATGACAGTCATAGTGTCCTGAGGTCTTGTGATGCCCTTTTGCAACCTTCTGACAAGCTAAGTTAATGAGGGAAGCCAGATTCACTTAACAACCGTGTTACTAACTTAACAACTGCAGTGATTCACTTAGCAACTGTGGCAAGAAAGGTCGTAAAATGGGGCAAAATTCACTCAACTGCCTTGCTTATCTACAGAAATTTTGGCCTCAATTGTGATCATATGTTGAGGACTCCCTGCTTGTAGAAATGTGATCTAGAGTTTCTGAACTAAATTTCCATCAATATATATGAATATTCCAATGGGGCATTCCAATTCCTTATTCCATGTCTCCTCTATTCTTGAATTAATCCTCTATACATGAATTAATGTCACCTAATGGGACCCAAGGATACATCTAACATAGTCCCCGCCCTATGGAACAAAATTCCCCTGAAATTTACACAAATGTCTGCAGGGCTGCAAAGACTTTGTTCTTTCTCAGGTATTGAGCCAAACAAAGGGATGAGCATATGCAGGGTGTAAAACCCTTGAATGAGATATGTGTTGAAAGCTTTAGTCACTTCTGTAATTGTTATTTATGTTCTTTCTCTATTCTGCAGTTTTCATATTCTGAAGGTCTGCATTTATGTTACCCTATGTTAATGCTACCTCAAATTGTAAGTCGCAAAATCACTCTTGTGAATTGGACAGCCGTATAAATTCAATACATTAATTAATGATAACTACAGATCTAAAGATTGTGAAACAGAGAAATTAAAAACATTAAAAATAGTGTCTGCATTTAATGAATACGCTGGAAGTAAAGAAGATAGTTATTACAGTAATTATATATTCAGCTCATCTTAATTAATAAAGATGAGCAAGCTTTGGATTATATATATCCTACCCTGGCATCAATACTCAAAATGTTTAACCCAAAATATAAACTGACAAGAGGTTTGTTTTTTTCTGGCCAAAATCACATCAGATATTGTTTGAGTAACAAATCTGAAGGCCTCACATCAAAAAATGAATGGAACCAGGATAAAATAAATGGATGGAGAAAAGCCAGAACAATATTTAATATAATTTAATGCATTAACACAAATATTTAATAAAGTTAATATAAATATTGATCAGGTACAATTGTTATAGCTTCCCCTGACAGAACATTGTAGTTGAGTTGGAACTTTTGAAGGGGCCTTGAAAGGTCCCCAAAGCCAGTGGCCTTAGTTAAATTGCATGTTTTCAGCAAAGCCTACCTTAAAATAGGTTCAGCATTTTGGCTTCTGTTCAGAATTTGCTTCAGACTACATTTCAAGTGAAAACTGCATAAGTCTAAATATTTTCCTTTCAAACAAAGATAACACTGGTGGGGAGAAAAACATGGAATAGGATTTTTCATGGACCTTTGTGGCCGGAGAAACGCTCCTGTAGTTACATTTTCCCAGGTTTTGTTTTTCCTGTTTTTCTTGTTCCAAAAACTGGAGCTACAGACTCCATCTCAGCACACCAATCATGCTGGGCGTGATTTTACTCAGCACAAATTTCTGAGCCTGACAACCTGCAAGTGATTTGGTAAAGCCATCACTTGCTAGTTGGTACATGTAAGCATCCTGTGAAACCTGGCTGATGATTGGCAACCCACAAGAGATAAGGACATAGATAACAACTGGTTGGCAACCCTGTCCAGACAGAAAGTGAAATCTTGCACACCTCTGTTGTTAAAATGAACATTGCTCCATACCCAAAACAACTGCATTCTTTCTTAATAAAAAGTTCTGCATAAATTATACACTTCCTTTTCTTCTAGAAAAGCACGTTCAGTTCGACGTAAAACCATTCTTAATTCACCAGTTGTCTGTTTTCTAATTTTTGGACTGGGGAAACTGGTTGCAAAAGACATTTTCAGCCTGGTCCAGATGGTCTGCTGTCTGTTTCTGCCTTAACAGTTCTTGAAACAAATGTTTCCTCTATTAGGAAATCCTCTTCTCCAGCAAATATTCTTACTTTAGCCTCCATTGGCTAACTAGCCTATATGGGCCAGCTCTCCTACTTCTTCATGTCTATGTTAGGCTTTTCACTGAATTTTCAGAAATTATAACTGCTGTCATTTTTCCTACAGAACCTTTTACATCAGTGGTTCTCAACCTTTGGTCCACAGAACCCTGAAGGGGCCACAATGTCATCACAGCTGGTCCACAAAGGCTTGATGCAATCTAGTGCTTTAAAACTTGAGTTAAGTCTTGGTGGCCCATGGCCATGATCCATAGTTGCAAAAGGTATTTAAAGAGGGTCCATGGTCAAAAAAAGGTTGAGAACTATTGTTTTACATGATTTTGGGAAGGAAGGGAGGGAGGAAAAAAAGGAGGGAGGGGAGGAGGGAAGGAAGGAAGGAAGGAGCTTATAGGGTTTTTCAAGGGTTTAACTATTATATATCTACTTTGTAAGTATTTTGAGCAACAGTAAACCTTCTAGACTTGACGGCTACTGGGGAAGGCAATGCTGGGTTTTCAAAAAACCACTTGAAAAAGAACAATCTTCCTATGCTATGCTTAGAGGAAGCCTCTGGCATTTTGGCATTCTTAAAATGCTGAAGATGACTGTGAGATAGTGAATGGCACGCATACTGGAGGATGGGGGGGAAAAAAGTCCACTTATGCTTCTGAGGAAGGAACAACATGTCTGGAGTTCCCACTGTTTGTTTTGCTAATATTTACTTGAATTCTTCCTCTGCGTTCCATTTTCTTCTGATATTTTTAATCAACTTGTAAATAGATTGGCAATTATAGCTTAAATAGGCATATACCTTTCAGGTAGACAGTTCTGAATTTAAGCCAATCCCCTCCCCTCCCCCTCCCATATATATGAATTGGTGATGTGTTATCAAGTTAATGTTGACTCAGATCTTCTACCTGCCCACTCATCATCGCTGTAACTCAATCTACCCAATAATATGTGTAACTCAGGAGTTGCAATGAGGGATCCTTGGTGGTCTCTGAGCTTGGTTGTTTTCTTGCAGATGTTTCCTTACTCAAACTAGGTAACATCATCAGAGCTGGGTCCATCCATCTGGACATTGTTTCTCGTTGTCTTCTCTTTCCTTTCATCTCTCTTAGTATTATGGACTTCTCATAGGAGATGAGTATTCATATAATATGTCCAAAATATGAGAATTTAGTGACCATTCAAAGTTACAGTGGCACTGAAGAAAGTGACATGTGACCATTTTTCACACTTATGACTGTTGTAGCATCTCCATAGCCATGTGATCAAAATTCAGACGCTTGGCAAGTAGCTCATATTTATGATGGTTGCAGTGTCCCAGGGTCATGTGATCACCTTTTGTGATCTTCTGACGAGCAAAGTCAGTGAGGAAGCCAGATTCACTTAACAACCATGTTACTAACAACTGCAGTGATTCATTTAACAACTGTGGCAAGGTAAAGGTTGTAAAATGGGGCAAAACTCACTTAACTGTCTTGCTTAGCAGTATAAATGTTGGGTTCAGTTGGGGTTGTAAGTCAAGGACTACCTATATTTCAATTTATTTTTTTCTATAATCCATGAATTTATTTTTTGGTCTATCCATGGTGTTCTATGTACAGTTTTACCAATGAGTATGTACATGCATCTGTGTACTTTATGCAATGTCCAGCTTTCAAAACTTAGGTTTACCCAATGCACTGAAACCAGACACAAATATACCCTAATAGTACAACTGTTAGAATTTCCAACTGGGAACAGCCATACCAATAAATATTTGCATATGTTACATTTTTTGTTATACCTATCAATGCATATGTCTATATTTGTTTGTTTGTCACAAGCCACAATCCAAAAAAGGTAAGTCTATTATATTTGGGCTGCAAAAATCCGTATCCAAACTGCATTCTCAACAACTTGGATGGCCACAGGCAGGAGAATATAATCCCAGAAAATATCCAAGAGTACAACTCCTATTTTAATTTCTGACAGTGCTTAAGAACATTATTAATGCTCACACCTCTGGGCTGCAAAAATCCAAATACCATTATATGGCGATAAAGGGCTTTCAGGATCTTTGTGTTATTACTTAGTGATAGTCCAGATTTGTACAACAGACAAGGGCTACATACCTGCATATGTGTGCATTTAATTGCACATAAAGTGATGTTTCTCAATTGAAGTAAATAACTGATCATCTGCATATATTAACTGTTTTCTCCCTCATGGAAATGTACACTCTTACACACGGTGACAAGTACAACTTAAACATAAATTCCCCTCTTCACTTCCAGCAAAAACAAAAGAAAAAAAAATTAGGTTGGAGATGGGGTCTAAAGGGAAGGCCAAGATGAAAGAGGGCAAAATGGATGTATGGGAAACAAAAAGGAGAGATAACAGAACCAGGAAAAGTTCTTAAGAGTTCTTACAGTTAAAACACATTGCATAAGCAGTTTCTTCAGCTACAAAGCCACAAGTAATCTTCAAGAGCAACTAGGCTTTTCAGCAAGTTATTCCCCATTTTTATGTTTCTAGAGACCCTTTCCTGCAGGTATTTATTTGGAAGAAAACATGGTCTTTTTGTGGAGTAAATATTGATCCAAATGAGCTTTATTATCCAGATAGGGATTTGAGCGTTTCATCTTGCACTATGTAGGAGTATTAGATTATTTGATCTATTCTAAACTAAGTTTCATTGTCACTGTAAAGGACACAGCTTTTCAGATTATTAAATCCCTCCTTAAATCTTTGAATATGAAAAAGAAATAATTCAAAAGATCTGCAATGTATACTGTTAAGTCCTCCCAGATCATTGCTCTTGAAAATAGTTAAGTTAGATAGGAGAAATGACATTGTAATTTAAAAGCAGTATATAAATAGGATGGTCTTCTTCAGAAAAGCACATTATCAGTTGATGGCTGATATTTATTTCTTCTTTTCAAGATGATCTGATTTGCACAGAATTCTCGAGATGACTTCCACAAACACAAGCAACAAAAACAGGTAAAGTTTTAATCTAAGACTGTACTTGCTTCTCATTTTCCCTCTATTTTTTTCTAGCTTTTCTCCCTGTGTGTTTTTAAACTTTCTTTTTTAAAAGTCCCCTACTCACCCTTGTGTAGTTCCTCTTTTGGGTACCATTTTTTTTCCCAAAGAAATGCCAAGAACAAAACATTACATGTTTATGTTAACATTAGTACTTGGAACTCTTTACAGCTTGGTGGGAAATTGTCAGAGGCAATTGATAGTAATTTCTTGAAGATCTGTTGATGTTTGTGTGCCTGCTTTCTTCCTGTAGCTGTTGGAGAAAGATTGTTAGTCTTCTGAAAGTTTATGATTTGCTGGGTACTCTTGAAGCAAACTTGGCGTATTGATGTCATTATTGTAAGCTGGGTGGGTTTTGAAATTACTGTGCAACTTTTAGAATCCCCACATGGTATATAGCAGGGGTAGGCAACCTTGCTCTTTTATGACTCGTGGACTTCAACTCCCAGAATTCCTGAGCCAGCCATGCTGAGGAGAAAGGGAGAGTTTCCAAGCTGAGCCATGCTGGCTCAGGAATTCTGGGAGTTGAAGTCCATGAGTCATAAAAGGGCCCAGGTTGCCTACCCCTGGTATATAGTCACACCAAGACTATATGATTCCATTCATTAAGACTCATTAGATGTTAAGAGTAATGCAATGTATATAATGAGACAAATTCATGAGATGAAGCAGGTGTTTTTCAGTCCTGCTTTGTGTTCTGACTGGTCAGGTAAAAGCAAAACCAATGGAAAAACCCTCGCTAAGCCTGGCACCAAACGTATTACAAGTAGTCCTCAACTTACAATCATTTGTTTAATGACTGTTCAAAGTTACAGCAGCAGTGAAAAAAATGGCTTATGACTGTTTTTCACACTTACAACCATTGCAGCATCCCCATGGTCACGCGATCAAAATTCGGACACTTGGCAAATGGCTCATATTTGTATCCCAGGATCATGTGAGCACCGCTTGCAACTTTCTGACGAGCAAAGTCAATGGGGAAGCCAGATTCACTGTACAACTGTATTACTAACTTAACAACTGCAGTGATAGCAACTGTGGCAAAAAAAGGCCACAAAATGGAGCAAAACTCACTTAACCACTGTTTTGATTAGCAACAGAAATGTTGGGCTCAATTGTAAGTCGGGGATTATCTGTACTTCTAGATAAGTCAGACTAAAAAGATCCTTTGAAATTGAATGTGGCTTTAAGATATGTCAATGCAATCGCCTTAGCAGCAGTATGGAAATGAGCTACCGTTGCTATCTTCCAGGAAATTTTTTGACTTCCAAATGGCTGACTCTGCTTAGCCTTCTAGATCAACCAGGTTGGTTGACTTAAACATAGCAGTGATGACCTACAGTGTATGTCCTATCCTATCAGATGTTGCTAACTACAGTTCTTACCAATTATAGCTAGTATGATCAAGGGTAACAAGAAGACCCCAAGTTCCATATTTAAGGTAATACGTGCCCTGGCCTATTACCCAGTAGCAGTTTGTTGACTTTGACTGTTGTTGGAAACTAAGTAGGACTCTGATACTATTTGGTTGAGAGACTACCACAGTGATGGCGAACCTTTTAGAGACCAAGTGCCCAAACCGCAATCCAAAACCCACTTATTTACTGCAAAGTGCCAGGGCGGCATCAGCATTGTGGTGCCCTCGGGGGGGGGGCAGGGAGGCACCTCTGAGTGCCGCCTCTGGCACGCAAAACCCGGGGGCACAAAAATGGGCCACCGTGCTGCAAGGCGCAAAAACGGCCGCTGCTGCGCCGTGGGGTGCAGATACAAGGCGCTGCACCACGTAAGCATGGGGCAGGGCTAGTGAGTATCATGCAGGCACTAGCCCCACTCCATTTGCAGCGTGTGTGTGTTCACGGCCCCGTGCACGCATGCACGCATGTAAAATGCTTCCCCCCTCCCTTTTCTTCCAGTCCACCAATCGACAATGGTTGGTGACCTCTGCTCTACCACCTCTGCTTGAGCTTGCTAGTCGGCCGCTTCTCCTCCTTTGTACTGGGCGGGGCTCCTGCTCTGAGCGGTGGGGGCAGCCTGATGGACCTCCTGCTGGCGGCGATGGCGTGCATGCCAACAGAGAGGGCTCTGAGTGCCGCCTCTGGCACACGTGCCATAGGTTCGCCACCACTGGACTACCAGAAATTATGCACTAGATTGGTCCAGTCTACAACCAGACTTGAGCAACAGGATACCAGTCCAATATTGTAAAGAAAATGACATAGATACATACATGTGATCATTGGAGAGAGTCTTTACTTTTTAAATAAATCAGCAGGCTAATTTTTTTCAAAGAGATGAACTAACAGGTAATTGTTCCCATCTTGGATTTTTTTAAAAAAAACATGTGAGTAGATGTGGTGGTTGATTTCATTGTTTTGAAAGAACTTTATTACTTCTTATATTGCTGGGGAATTCTAGGCGTTGAAGTCTGCTTATCTTAAACTTGCTGAGATTGTTGTTGTTGTTGTTAGTTGTGAAGTCGTGTCCGGCCCATCATGACTCCATGGACAACATTCCTCCAGGTCTTCCTGTCCTCTACCATCTTCTGGAGTCCATTTAAGCTCACGCCTACTGCTTCAGTGACTCCATCCAGCCACCTCATTCTCTGTCGTCCCCTTCTTCTTTTCCAGCATTAGGCTCTTCTCCAGTGAGTCCTTCCTTCTCATTAGGTGGCCAAAGTATTTGATTTGCTGAGATTAAACACTGCCAAATATGGTGGGTTTGCATGATTATGAATTGATTGATAATTATTTTATGCTAGTTAAAAATTATCCCCTGCCTTTTGACTAAAAAGGGCTTGAGGGTTGATAATTTGGGCTGTTCACCATTAATGTTCCTAGATCACAAGAGGTACATGCTCAAATTTTAAAACCAAAACTTTAAAATGTAAAAAAAAAAAGCCATTCTCTGGAGTACTGTTCTGTCTGGACATGCATCTTTCTTAAACTGCATCCAATATCACACAAAGACAGATCTGACGGTTACAGTGAATCTGAAGAACAAATTGTTTTCTGCTTGTGCATTCTTGCCTCGATTCAGCTGGCATATAAATCAAGCTATTTAACACTCTTCGCAGCTTCCTCTCTCGCTGTCAGGAACACATAAGTTTCTGCATATGTTACATTCAGTTGCTTGCAAAGGGATGTGTTGTTATAGAACAGGGGTCTTCAGACTTGGCCCTTTTATGACTTGTGGACTTCAACTCCCAGAATTCCTGACTTATCTAGAAGTACAGATAATCTATCTACCCCTGTTGCAGAACAAGGAAAATGAAACGATTAAGCTTTCCAGAATGACGGTAACACACTGATGAAGTGCTGTAGATCAAGAACAGGCTACTTCTACAGCAGTGTAGATGAGGAAGAACAATTTACAAAAATGTTGACATTCCTGCTTGTAGCCTCTTGCTGAAATTCTGTGCTCAGCTATTCTGGCACACTAAACACCCTCCTAACTGCTGACCACAACCATCTCTGAACACACACTGGCCTTTCTTGAAGCAATTCTTTTGGAAATATGACTGAAAGGTAGAAAGTGTGTGAATACAGATAGTCCTCGACTTAACAACCATTCGTTTAGTGACTGTTTGAAATTAGAACAGTGGTCTTATGACTGACTTTGGACAAAGTGTACACCGTAATATTTATTGATGATAAATAGCATAATTTTTATCAGCGAAGCTCTCCATTTATACGGTTCACGATGACAGCAAATTTTCAAAGGGTTCCAAAAATGATGGATGAAAGTGTGTAGGGAAACTCTGACTCCTGAATACAAATGAATATCTATAGCAGATGTTTTAGGATGCACTGTACTTTTTCTCTAAAAATTTTATGTCCTGATTTTGAAGCTATGAACAATTTTAGCTGGGGAACTGGATTATTTGTTGTTCGGATGGGGGCGGGGGGAGAACCCTTCCTCAGTAGGAGTTCATTTATTTGCAAAGTAAAATGAAAAGGCCTTTATTTGCATGTTTAAAGCACTGGGATTCACAATAGGCAGCTGACTCTTTCACCTTCCATGGTAGAGAAACTTCTTTGGCATGCAAATGGTGGTTAAGATTATCATCTTAATTAATGAGTCTTCATTTGTCTTGGCTGAAGTTTGCATCAGTATTTTATTAAATGCTCCTCCAATTTGTGTGTGCTTCTGTCTGCGTTAAGGCTGTGAATTGCAAAAGTCTTCTAAAGAACTGATATTAATAGGGTTTCTGGTGGGAAGAGTAACCAAAAGCAGAATAAATAACAGAATAACAGAATTAGAAGGCACCTTGGAGGTCTTCTAGTCCAATTCCCCTGCTCAAGCAGAAGACCCTATACCAGGGGTGTCAAACTTGCAACAGTCACATGACGTGTTGCAACGTATCGAGACTTTTCCCCCATTGCCGGCAATGGGGTGGGCACAGTTTTGGCGGGAGGCACTGGCCTGCAGGCCAGCAGTTTGACACCCCTGCCTATACAATTTCAGACAAGTGGTTGTCCAGTCTCTTCTTAAAAGTGATGGAGCAACCACAACTTCTGAAGGCAAGCTGTTCCACTGGTTAATTCTTCTCACTGTCAGGAAATTTCTCCTTAGTTCTAGGTTGCTTCTCTCCTTGATTAGTTTCCATCCATTGTTTCTTGCCTTGCCTTCTGCTGCTGGAAAATAAGTTGACCCACTCTTCTTTGTGGCAGCCCCTCAAATATTGGAACACTGCTATCATCACCCCTAGTCCTTCTTTTTATTAAACTAGACATACCCAATTCTTGACACCGTTCTTCCTATATTTTAGCCACCAGTCTCCTGATTATCTTTGTTGCTCTTTTTTGGCACTCTTTCCAAAGTCTCAACATCTTTTTTTTATATTGTGGTGACCAAAATTGGATGCAGTATTCCAAGTGTGGTCTTACTAAGCCTTTATAAAACGGTGCCAATAATGTTCAGTTGAGTAATGTGTGTGTGTGTGTGTGTGTGTGTGTGTG